GAGTAGATCTCAATGTCAAGTATTTACTTTATGGACCATGTCTATGAGCAAACTGATCGACTAATTGCCAACTAGAAAGGGCCACTACCGTTTCTCTCGCTCTTCTATGACATTCAATTGCGTGTCAATCCCCAAATGTGATAGTTCTACTTGATGTGAATATGCTCATTGTAGACGCCTTCTCTTGGTTTTCTTATTGTTCCTTGCTTGTCTCCTTGTAATTCCTTTTCTTAAAACTAAAAATATTACGAGATGCATTCACCCTATTTCATTAAAGGTGATGAAACACTGATAGTAGAATTTTCCCACAATGATATGAGTAGATCTGACGTTTCCCTTGAATTTCACATAGCCTTGCTTTCCCAAAAGTTTCGACCTCGCATCGGTCTCCCAACGGGAGTCGAACCGTGACAGTGCAGAATGGGAGCTTGACACGTCAACCACTCGACCACATTGCCACGAGTGCACTTGGGAAAGAGGGCAAATGTGAATTTCAATGAAGGCCAGGCATTTTGCCGCATCATATTCTTTGGTGGCCTTCCTTGAAATTCACATCTGCCCTCTTTCCCAAGTGCACTCGTGGCAATGTGGTCGAGTGGTTGACGTGTCAAACTCCCATTCTGAACTGTCACGGTTCGACTCCCGTTGGGGGTGTTGATAAAACCGATGCGAGGTCAAAACTGCAGTCCACTCGTGCCTGGATGAGAACAACTTTTGGGAAAGCAAGGCAATGTAAAATTCAATATAAACGTCAGATCTACTCATATCATTGTAGGAAAATTCTACTACCAGTGCTACATCACCTTAAACAAAATTGGGTGAATACATCTCATATTACTGATTTACTGGTAGTCTCGAAACTACTCAAAAAGGATGAAAATATTACCTTTTTCCAGTCTTCTTTTTGCAAATTTTGCTGGTCCCTGATCTTCTTCGAGTTTGCTGAAGCAGTATGCAAAGTTTTCGCTAACCCTGCTTCTTCGAGTCTCCTCTTCATTAGGTTTCTTTCATTCAGGATATAAATAGCTTCTCTTATCTTGCGTTTTCTTGTATTTTCACCATAAGCAGCCAGCCTTTCTGTCGATTTCCACTCGATTTTGTGTCCTGTCCGTGTTCGGATCTTTCAGTGTCTATGTTTCTGCAGAGTCTTTGTTGTTCCCTGAGTCGAAGGCTAATTTTGCTTCCTGTTTCACAAATATACTTCTGCTCATTGTTGCCGCATTTGATGCTATAGACTCCCGAGCAATACAGTTCGTCAAACTTCTCGCGTTGCGTCAGCAGACTTGTGAAGAGTGTTGTCTTTTCTTTTGTTATCACCTTGATATTCCATTTTCTTATCGACGGTCGCAATTTCTGGCTCAGTTCACAGGAAAGCAGGAATATCAACTTGTTGTCGTCTTCCCCATTCCTGATCCTATTTTCATAAAATCCTAAATGAAATCTGCTCTTTGCGACCCTTATATGTCTTTCTTTACATTCTCTGGGATATTCGTTACTAAGGCAAATCCGAATCAGCTTCTCCAGTCCCTTGTTCCAGCATTCAGTGTCCGTTAGTCTTAAGCTTCTGATGATCATACTCCTCAGCATTCCTATTTTCAGTCTGTAGTTGTGATTAGACTGGAAATTGAGGATTATTCCCGCATGTGATCTCTTTCCGAATGGTCTCCTCTTGAGTATTTAATTGGAGCAAATGACCTTAACATTTAGGTATGGTATTAGTTTATCTTTCTCCACCTCCATTGTCAAGTTGGTTTATAAAATTGAGGAACTCATCCAACTTTTGCTTACCATATGACCAAAGTGTAAAGTAGTCGTCCAGGTATCGCATGAGCACTCTTGGTTGCAGTAATGACTTCTCGACTTCCCTGTCAAATCTGTCGATGCATACAATTGCCAAAAGTTGAAAGTGGAGATTCAATCGGTAGTCCAAATATTTGCTCATAGATAATGCCGTTGAATGTAAAATATGTGTTACTTAATGTCAGGTTGATCAATCTTGCTAACGACTCATTTCGTATCCGCTCTGCTTCTAGGATATCTTGTTCTCGTTCCAAAAGCTCCAGCAGGGTGGTGACTGCCTTCGCCCCTAATAGGCGTGTGTGCATATGTTGTACGTCAAAACTTACCATCATTTCCATCCCCGCCAGTTCAATATTTTGGTTCCTTTGAGAAAGTTCATATGAATTCTTCAGTGTTCAAGAGTCTGTCGTTTACATTCTTAAGCTTCAAGCATATAAATTTCGCTAGTTTGTATGTTACTCCAAGCTTGCTGTCGACTATTAACCTTAGTGGTTTTCCTTCCTTGTGTATCTTCAGTAGTCCGTATGCTGCTGGTGGCTTTGCATCATTTTATATTAACGATTTCATAATCCATTTGTCGATTTCTCTGTTAAGCATTTCCTTTAACATTTCCTTAAGTATTCCATTGATCATCATTGTTTGATCCTATTTTAATGTTTACTGAGTGTCTAGGTCGCCTAGGATACTTTAAATTGCATCCGCGCCTTGATGCCTGTCCATTACCCGTGTCGCACTTCCCTTATCCACCTGAAGAACTATATGGTCATTCATTCGTAATTTTCTACCTAGCTTTGAGTAGGACGGAAACGGTGGCAGCGATGGAGTGGAATCAATGAAACAAGCAAGGGGGGACTCTGATAGGAGAGGATTGAGGAGTAAACCGCAGCCTCAGATCAACATTCCCGACACAGTGGGAGGGATATGGAAAACGGTTGGGAGTGTGAATAGGTTTCAAATAGGCTTAGATAAACAATTAAGAAATTGTGGTATTGAAGGGGTGATACGAGGATATAGGATAGGTGAATAGCCCAAGAAAGGAGAGATACCACAAATGTTTAGCAGGCAATTGGTCAAATATTGCACTTCACTTGTCTCTTTGACGAGTTGTATTGTGATGCTAAGAGTAGCAAGGCTCACTGACGATGCCGGTGAAACATCTATGAATGTACCAAGTACGCGGTCAGGCTTTGGAAATTAGCATGCATATTATGGAGTCCGGACAAGGTGTGCTCCTCTAGGTCGTCCTGCCAATATGATAAAGTTGCGAAAATGAGATTTGATGAGTTGAGCTGAGAGTAGATGAATGTTTCGGAGTTTACAGCATAAACTGCAAGGACAGTGAACAAAAATACATCGGAGAGACGGGAAGGACAATCAACACAAGGATCAAAGAACACCAGCGATTATACAGAAAAATGGAAACAGAAAGATCGGAGATAGCCGAACACATTGCCCTTACCTGCCGTACAATCAACTGGAGTGCAACTGAAAGACTGGTCTCCTAATGGAAAAACACCAAGAAACGGAATATCGGGGAAGCTGTAGACATACTATTTAAAAGAAACCTGATAAACAGGAGATTAGAAGAGAAAAGAGTCAGCGATAATTTCGCGTACTGCCTGGGCAGACTGCAAAATTCAGTGAAGACATCAGAAAGAAGACGCTTGGACCCAGAACAACGGCTTAACAACAAGAAGAGACATCACCAAAGAGCGGCTCATGAGGGAAGTAAAGAAAAGGCGATTGCAGTGAGAAGGGTCAAACCTGGAATCGGTCAAAATATTTTACTCCGGGAGGGTCTTCCTATGAGGCGTAGAATATGAAATTAAGGGCTAAATGTGTTGTGTTGCAAAGGACGTGAACTGTTTCTAAAATATAAAACCCTTGCCCTCTACGACTCCAAAGATGGAGGCCCCGAAACGAAGAGAGAAAAGGAACAAATAGTATTACCAATTGTCCGAAATAAAGTAAATAAAGAAAATAATTTAAAGATGGCGCTGAATAGAACATTCTTAATCCCACAAGTCATGGAGAAGCGGAGAAAATGAAGGAAAAGAACGTGACCAATTTAGACAGAATGTTAGGTAATGAATGAAGACCAAGATGGTGTGGCCTTTTGTATGGTCGTAGTCTCCTTTCGATGTCAGGAAGACCGAGAGGAACGCACTTTGTCCGAAGTCAATTGTATGCATAATAATTTCCAGTCGGACTGTGGACGTAGGACATTCCAAGACGTTTCGCAGGCATCTCTTTGACGAGTTGTAGTGAGGTCCTAAGAATGGCAAGACTCACTTATTATGCCTACGAGACGTCTGAGAATGTACCATGTCCACGGTCCGAATCTGGAAATGATACAATGGTCTCCGGACAAGGTGCGTTCCTCTAGGTCTTTCTACCAATATGACCAAGTTGCGAAAACAAGGTCAAACTACTTCTAGAATCGAAGGTATGAAGACCAAGATGGTGCAGCGTTTTGTGTGGTCGCAGTCTCCTTTCGTTGTATAGAAGTTATTTGACCTTGTTTTCGCAACTTGATCATATTGGTAGGAAGACTTAGAGGAACGCACCATTGTATGCATCATCATTTCCAGAGTAGGACCTGGGATGTACCTGGGAATGTACCACGTCATCGGTCCTACTCTGGAAATGATGATGCATACAATTGGTTTCGGACTCGGTGCGTTCCTCTAAGTCTTCCTACCAATATGATCGAGTTGCGAAAACAAGGTCAAACAACTTCTATACTTCTAGAATGTTAGCTACTTGCGTAGTGTTCCATGCCAACTTCTGATTGGACGAGGCGATGCCAAGCTTAATTTGGCGACGCGAAATAGTCAAGATTCTCTGCGTCAAAGGATGCTGGGCCATGGATGTAACCAAAACTAAACATTTAATAGGAAAAGTGTGGGGATATGTCACTACAAATGTATAGATGGGCCAGATGTAGGTCACCAGTGTGTGGGGGGGGATGGGTGCTTGTGTGCATTTTTTGTCTGTATCTAAAGCATAGGCAACTGTTGACCGGCTTGGCCACGGGGGATAACAGCCAAAACACGTGAATATACTAGTACCTTAGGATTATGGGAGTGTCAGCGTGAAGGACAAAGGTGTACTTTTCGAGATTCAAAGGGAAAAAATGGAACGGTGCATTTTCACACCACCATGACTTAAGCCAGACACAGAGGACACAGTGGGGTTAGGGATGAGGAAGAGGATAATCGAGTCATGGGTTTGAAGCGTAGGGAGTGGAACATTCCCAGGCATTGAGGTGGGCATCAATGCTCGAATATGGCGTAATTGGGGAAGAGGACATAAGGCTTTTAGGCAGCTAATTTCAGATAGCCAGTGATTTTGACCTGTAGCAGCGACCAATTGACAAGCGGGGTTGGAGAAAGGGGGCAGATTGTAGGTCAGGAGCCCTGCCAACGGCATCTGGTATCGGTGGTGGAGAGGATCACGCTTCGCCAAACCCACTTTTAGCGACACACTTAGGCGAAATTGGATGAAACGAAAATGCGGAATTGTGTGAATAGGTAGATGGGTTCATAAAGACGGGACGAAAAGTATGGGCGAGGAGTGATTCCATAGCTGCTAAAGAGAAAATTGGTCAAGGTGATTACCTTCACTGCTCCTGATAAGTTGTAACTCTGTGCTAACGATGGCGCCTCTCACTGGCGATATCGACTACATTGCCGGCGAGACGTTCTGGAATGTACCAAATCAATGGTCCGAAGCTAGGAACCATGACTAATATGGCAGAGCTTACAGGAATGGGTACGTTCCAAAATGTCTCACTGACGTTGCGATCAAGTTGCGACAAAACCTAGGACCACATAATTTTGGTCCTCTTCTTCGGGTTACCTT